CATGAACCGGAAACATAAATCGGAGGATGCCGGCTCGAAGAAATTCGTAGTCGGACGGTGACATCCAGGCTGAGGGGATGATCTTGAGTGAAACCTTCCAAGTGGCTGCGGTTATTGAAAAGTTGCCTCCAGGCTGGAGGGATTTCAAGAAGTACCTCAAGCACAAGCGCAAGGAGATGACCTTGGAGGATCTGATTGTTAGACTTCGCATTGAAGAAGACAACAGGAAGTCAGAATCAAAGGCATCCAATGGCGTACAGGCTAAGGTCAATATTGTGGAGCATGGTAAAGGCCAAGGCTCGAAGAAAAAGGCCAAGAGCAAGAACACCAACAAAGGCAAGGGGAAGCTAGGGATTACTGGTGGTGTCTCTAAGCAGAAGCACAGATTCAAAGGTAATTATTTTAACTGTGGCAAACCAGGTCACAGGTCTGCTGATTGCCGCTCCCTAAAGAAGGATCATGAGGCGAACATGGTCAATGACATCACTAAGGATGTGGAGGACATGCACCTAGTTGCTGTAGTGACTGAAGTGAACATGGTGGAGTCCAACCCAAAGGAATGGTGGATGGACACTGGCGCATCCAGGCACGTGGGCATCTATAGGAGCCACTTCACCACCTTTGAACCAGTCCATGGAGAGAAGATCTACATGGAAAATGCTGTTGTTGCCACTGTTGAAGGCAAAGGAACTGCGAAGCTCAAGATGACTTCGGGCAAGACTCTGACACTCACAGATGTGCTGCATGTGCTAGAAGTGCGCAAGAACCTTGTGTCAGGATTCATGCTAGAAAAGAATGGGTTTCGCATTATAATAGAGTCTAATAAGGTTGTTCTGTCTAAGGCAGGAATGTTTGTTGAGACGGGGTATGCAACCAATGGGTTGCTCAAACTCAATGTAATGACTATTGTCGATGAAATGAATGCAAGTACCTCTTCTGTTTATTTGATTGAGTCATCCAATTTATGGCATGGTAGACTAGGTCATGTTAATTTTAACTTGAACCATATACCAACGTTCCAAATTGACTTAAGAGATAAATGCGAAATTTGCATCGAAGCAAAGTTAACGAGGTCATCTTTTCAAACGGTTGAAAGGAGTACTGAACCACTTGAATTAGTTCACAGTGATGTTTGTGATTTGAAATCGGTTCAAACACGAGGTGATAATAAGTATTTTATCATATTTATTGATGATAGCACGAAATATTGCTATGTTTACTTGTTAAAAAGTAAAGACGAAGCATTAGAGAAATTCGTTCTCTACAAAACCAAAGTTGAGAATGAACTTGGTAAAAAGATCAAGAGATTGAGAAGTGATAGAGGTGCCGAGTATGAAGCACCAATTGGTGGCTTTTGTGCACAACATGGAATTGTTCATGAAGTGACAGCACCTTATTCACCTCAATCTAATGGGGTAATTGAACGGAAAAATCGCACATTGAAAGAAATGATGAATGCGATGTTATTAAGTTCAGGCCTACCTCCCAATATGTGGGGAGAAGCCGTCTTGTCTAGTACTTACCTATTAAATAGGGTTCCCCGAAAGCAAGAAAACAAGACTCCATATGAATTATGGAAAGGAAAGATACTATCCTACAAACACTAGCGAGTGTGGGGGTGTCTGGAAAAGGTAGTTGTACCTCCGCCAAAGGCAATAAAAATTGGACCTAAAACGGTCGATTGTATTTTTATTGGCTATGCACAGAATAGTAATGCATATCGGTTCTTAGTGCATGATTCGAAGATTTCGGATATACACAAGAACACAGTTTTGGAATCAAGAAATGCATCTTTCTTTGAAAATGTATTTCCTTATAAGACTAAGGATGAAGACAGTTCGTCAAAACGAACTCATGAAGAAGTTCCTGATTCGGTTGAGGTTCAAGATGTTGAACCAGACCGAGCAAAAGGGCAAGAGTAGAGAAATCATTCAATGATGATTTTGTAACCTATTTGCTAGAGAGAGAACCTCTAACTTACGCTGAGGCAGTAAGTTCTTCTGAGGGACCTTTGAGGAAAGAAGCCATAAAGAGTGAGGTTGATTCAATTTTACATAATCATACTTCGGAACTTGTTGATCTGAAACTTGATGCTTTCATTGATAAATACAATGCCAGGCTTGTAACCAAAGGGTATAAACAACGAGAAGGTTTAGACTAATTTGATATGTATTCTCGTGTGACGAGAATAAATTCCATAAGGATGATACTTGCTATCGCAGCCTTAAGGAATTTGAAAATACACAAATAGATGTTAAAACAACTTTCTTAAATGGAGATTTAGATGAAGAAATCTATATGGAACAACCCGAGGGTTCCCGAGCTCCAGGAACAGAAAAGAAAGTTTGTAAACTAGTAAAGTCCCTGTATGGTCTAAAGCAAGCACCTAAAAAGTGGCATCAAAAATTTGACCATGCAATGATTACTAATGGATTCAAAATTAATGACTGTGACAAATGCATTTACGTCAAGGATATAGAAAACGATTATGTCATATTATGTCTATCTGTAGACGATATACTCATTGTTGGTAGTAGTGACAAGTTGGTCAAATCTACCAAAAACATGTTAAACTCTAAGTTTGACATGAAAGACATGGGTCTAGCTGATGTGATTTTAGGTGTTAAAATCATAAGGACAACAGATGGTCTAGTTTTGAGTCAAGCTCATTACATAGATAAAATTCTTGATAAGTTTAACAAGAATGATTCTGGGGTCGCGAAAACACCATTAGATAACAGTGTCCATTTATCCAAGAATCTTGGACAGGGTATATCTCAGGTGGAATACTCTCGGATAATAGGAAGTCTGATGTATCTAATGAGTTGTACCAGACCAGATATTGCTTATGTGGTAAGCAAATTGAGTTCATACACGAGTAATCCCAATGCTGAACACTGGACTGCTATAATTAGAGTACTGAGATATCTAAGACATACTCGTGATTATAGACTACACTATACCAGATATCCATCTGTGTTGGAAGGTTACACGGATGCCAATTGGATATCTGATATAAAGGACTCACACTGCACAAGTGGCTACGTGTTTACACTAGCTGGAGCAACTGTGTCGTGGAAATCCTCAAAACAAACTGTAATAGCCAGATCCACAATGGAATCCGAGTTCATTGCCTTGGAAAGTGTGGTGAGGAGGCTGAATGGCTACGCTATTTTTTGGAGGATATTCCAAAGTGGGAAAAACCTGTGCTACCTATTAGTATTCATTGTGATAGTCAATCGGCGATTGGAAGGGCACAGAGTACTATGTATAATGGTAAGTCAAAACATATTCGTCGTCGACACAATACCATTAGACAACTCCTCTCAACAGGAATTATCGCAATTGACTACGTAAAGTCAAAGGATAATCTTGCGGATCCGCTAACCAAAGGGTTAAATAGAGAGGCAATTGAAAGATTGACCAAAAGAATGAGTGTAATGCCTGTGAAGAAATAAAAGCCTTAAGAAGGAAAACCCAACCTAGTTGACTGGAGATCCCAAGATCTAGGTTCAATGGGACAACCTAATCATCAAGACTTAGTGTCGTCACTGTGGGGGTAAACCTCAACTCATTCCTGTCATCAAACAGTGATATGACGGAAAGGATAGCAAACGGTTGCTTTTATGATACTTAAGTGAGTAATTTCATTTACTCTAGACTTAAGAAGTCACCTATGTGAGAGAGAAGTGGGGCCGCTTCAAAGGAGAACTGTTAAGGCTTAGTTCTTTAGAAACTCTTGCAGAACCAGGACGTGTTCATGGCCTAAATGGACAAAACCATGATAACAGAACTAAGTAGAAATGGTTCCTGTGTACTGTATGCGGGTTTCTTTACACAATACAGCCGGACAGTTCAACGACATCGCGTCTACTGGACAGCTAGTAAGGCAAACATACTTTACAAGGAGGAAGTTCAAAGGGTAAAACCTACTTTCTCTATGCAGGAATCAGTTGGTGAACACCATCATCGTTTAATCAAAACAATATCTCATTCATGTGGGGGATTGTTGGAAATGAGTAGTAAGTGAATGAGAATTAAGTTTCTCAAGAGTTGGAAAAATTAGAGTTAAGGCTAAGGGACTTTGTCCCACATGGGTGTTGGGAAGAGTTGGAGCTCACTTTATAAGTGAGAGCCGAAAATTGACTTGCAAGTTGACTTGCCAATACTATACCACATCTCTCCTGCTCGCGTGTGACCGCACAGGGGGAGTGCAAATGGAGGTCCACTTCGGGGCTAAAATAGCTTGACTCATGTGTGCGCACGACCTGCGGACACGAATGCCGAACCGAACTCTAGCGGGCCTAATCAACTCACATTTTGCTCCAGTTCAGATTAATTTTTTCTAGCTAAAATTTTAAAGTGGAGATTTATGTTCATTCATTTCAGTCAAAGAGAAAACTGAAACGTTACAATTATATATTGTTGTTGAATGAGCAAATGAATGGCAAATTTAATACTGTTTAAATGGCCAAATGAATTCTTTTGACTGTTTGATTGTCAAAAAAGTTTTGGCTGTTTATGTGCCATGAATTCGTGACATTTAACAGGATTAAAACACCAAAACTGTTTGAAGTTTTGCTGCTATTTCAAAGGTTTCTACAGCCTATAAATAAGCATTCATTTTCTAAAGTTATACACACCAATCCTTCCTCCTTTTTCAATATTCTTTCGAGCCTTTCTTTCTTTCTCTTTTTGTTTCGGTGTTCATCATCGTGTTCTAAGTTTCGTTCGCTTGTAGAACTTCTTTGTGCTAAGTAGACTCTACGTTTCCGTTGTATCTTGGGAAACAGTTGCTCGAGATCCTCAAGCATTATAGGAGGGGGCAAATCTGTTTTAAGGAGATCGTATTTTCACGAGCCTCAGATTTCTTCTCCTTCCGTTTTTCCTTAGCCTTTGCGAATACTACCCATATTTTGACCAACATAATTTCTATACATACATATATATATATATATGGTTATGTTAGTGTACACTATAGGCCATGTAGCACTTCATAGTTACACATGAAGTTGAACAAGCCCTAATCCAATAAACAACAAGAAGAAGATTGGCCAATACAACAAACACATGAACTGACAGAATGTGCCGTACCATCTATGAATACATCTTTCATTGACTTGCCGTCTAAATCATATATTCCAAGCTTTTGCCAACCGCATTGATCACCAACTCGTAAGAGCATTAGCTTTTTCCCATTTTCCTTGCAAAGTAGTGCCACTAGCCTAAAGTATGATTGTGAAACGTAAGATGCAGGCAAACTCGCAATAGGAATAGAGATTAACATAGTCCAAAAGCTCCCAACTCCATAACTCTTCATCACCCATAAATTCATGGTACGCATTCCTAGAACGAGACAGCAAAGTCGACCATTCAACGAACACAAAGATTTTCGATATGCATGGTAATATCCTTCTTGTAGCATTTGAGGAACACCTTGGTGGGACATCTTCCGGAATTCTTCACTCGCGAGAACGAAGGAAACGATGAAGTCGTCCGGGTTTGTCTTTCTCTCGACGAACCAGTGGAATGCACCATTAACAAAAGCACAGTCAGAAGGAAGATATCGATCCCCGAGCTCAAATGGTATGGCAACATTTGTGAGTTCCCTCCATGAATTCAGTTTCAGACTATAAATAAATATCCCCTGATGAAGACAAAAGTCGCAACTACCAGCAGGCCATCTCACCATTTGTAGTCATTATCTTTGTGGTCGTATCCAAATGTTGCATTTATTGGGGCGCCTTCAGGGCAACTACATTCAGAAGGGAAATATTGCACAATAGAGTGCTTATTAGTCCAGGGATTCCACAAAACAAGGTCGATTTTGGAAGAACTAAATAAACAAACCATCCCATTTGGAGACCCAAGAGTTTCAAGTCCATGTTTAGTGATCTGAAAATCTGAGGGGCCTTGGATTTTTTTCTCGTTGGTGGCATTGTACTGGGAGCTACTACCATGTTCATTAACCCAATCGAAGGAATATAAAGTGTTTCCCTTTATGGCGATGAATTTGCTTATGCGCATAACGTCGATCAAATCACGCCATGGCTTTGAAACAAATCGGAATCGCATCAAAGAATCAAGTGATAGCCTCCTAAGGATGTCCGGAATCACATCATTAAGGATGTGATCTGACATTATTGGCAGGGTGTTGGGTCAGCCGGAGATGGATTGAACGAAGCAATAAACGCCGGATTTTGTTTTTGCTGTAAGCAAAAAAAAAAAAAAAGAATTTACTCCAATTCTTCTTGTCGACAATCAAAGTAGCAATTGGTACTCATAAATTCATTCCCTCGTGGTGTGCTGGAGACCAAGTTACTTATAGCTCTTAGAAACCTTGTGTTTAGGGTTTAAGGCGATTGGAAAACTTTTCCAAACTCTTTCCTTTACTTATTAGGTTTATATAGGAATTCAATTCTCATCCCATTCCTTTTCAAGTGAAAATTTTGTCCTGGAAGGTTTTATTCCCTTTTTTCTCCCTAATTCATCGAATTTATCAAATTGAAGCCAAAATCCAACTCTCCGGCCAATGGTCCGGCAATTTTTTTTTTTTTATTTTTTATTTTCCAGAAAGAAAAATTTACGGAGATTCTCTAATATTTTATAATTTGTCAATTTTTTCCTAAACAATCAACACTTGTTTGATTTTTCTTTTTTCAATCGAGTCAAATTTTAAATCTTCATTAATCACTTTTTTAATCTTACCTATTTATCACTGTTTTTTTCAGTCTAACGTCATTGTAAATCCAAAAGATTGAACTGCGCAAAGCGTGTTTTACATTTGTCCAAAGACATTATTTCATCTAGCACATTCAAAAAATATTTATTTTCACTGACTATAAGTTAGCTTTCTATTATTTTGGGTCAAAATGAACCCTGTTGTACAAACATCCGCTCACCTTTGACCCAACGAACTGATGGAAGTGAAATATTTCTGACTTCTGATCTTGCTTGATCATCTATATCTTGTGATCATTTATTCTGATATGGATAATTAAATAAGTAGAATCAACACTACTGCTAGCATCTTAATTGTATCGGCATTATATGATTCTAACATTAAATCCTATATATATATATATAGGAAAATTTTATGGTCCAGTCGATAATTTTTTATTGAATCATTCAGATAAAATCTATTCAATCAAAATTGAAAACTATAAATGTGTTCATGGTGAGAAACAGCATATTAAATCCAAATTACTTCCTAACCTGCCGATTTGGTCATTTACCATATTGTACCTTTTATATATTTTATTTTTTTTGTGATGTTTTTTACCAAGATTAATTTTATCTAATCTCAATAAAGATAGTTGTTAGACACATTGTAAACTGATTTTCTTTCTCACAATAAATTGACTACTGATAAAATGGCCGGAATCAATACTTTCATCATTTGATGACACACTTCCTTTTATTGAGAATTGCAGTTCCACGTCGGTACTGGGAGAGACTGAATATCAATATAAAAGTACATGAGTTACTCCCCTCATTGCCAATTAGTTTTAAAGTGGAATCTCATGGACTTCTGTATAGTATCAGAGCCAGCCCACCGACATTCGGACTCAAAAAAAAGCCCAACAAAAAATAGAGTTGAGACGTGAGGTGGTGCTTGAACTGAAAAAAATAGGCCAAGCCTAACCCAAAAAATACGTTGGGCTTGCGGAGGATTATTGAGAATCCCAGTCCCATATCGGTACTGGGAGAGACTGAATATCAATATAAAAGTATATGAGCTATTCCCTTCATTCTCAATTGATTTTGAAGTGGAACCCCATGGGCTTCTGTACCTTTTGCTTCTGATTTGGCTCTTTATACTGTGGCCTTGCTTCATCAATTTAAGCCATCTATGTCTTTTGATTTATCTAGCTTACTCCAAAAAGCCAAAAAGGGCATCAGAACCGGTGTTTCAAAAAAAAAAAAAAAGAGAAAAGAAACAGATGCATTTGATCCTTGAATTGAGGATGAACATGACTAGTTGCACCAGAACTATTTTCAGTACTTTTCAGATGCAGCCGAACCAAAAAACGCAAAGCGTAAGTACTTAATCCAATAAAGGGAAGTTGATATAATTGATTCAGTGAGCAATTAAGTCCACAAGAATCAGAGATCCACAAACAATATCAGGACTCGCGTAGTACATCAAATGCAACTGAGTCCATGAAACAACTTTCAATTTGCAACATCAAGAGGTCATACGCCAACTAAAGAATTTATCATTATCTAAATCTTAGATAGTAGTAGTTTCTTTAATATCACAATCATAATGAATCCATTCCTATAACGAATAATGGACGACGGACAACTCAAAGGAGGAAAAAGAAAACACCAGGAAAAGAAAAATTCTCAAGTACGCCATTGTTCAAAAATCAGAAACATGAACAATATTTGCTGAGAGTTTCAATTTTTGTTCTCGGAATCTTGACAATTAACCCCGACTTGAGTACACACAGTACGAAACAAACTTCCACCGTAGTGAATTTGAGAGGGAAAAATAACTTCATTTAATTCAAGAAGAGCACAAATTCAGACGAAATTTGCAAAATACCCATCACCGCTTAGGGTACTCTATATATACTTCTTGATTAAGTTGTGTGAGCCTATGGTTTTTATTGAAGAAGTAGGACTGTGATCGTTTACATTGAAGATTACAATTATGAAATTGAGTTGATGATATCTGTGGTCTTGATGTCGCCGTTGGTAAGGTTTTGTACTTATCATTGAGATTTATTTTTTTCTTAACCTGCTAATGGATTGGTTCAATAAGTTGCACGATTAATTTGTAATGATCAGGTGTGATGGGTATTCTTTCTTTTCAAAACACCTTATTTTTAATGTAAGGGTTGTTATTGTTCCTAATTGATCTAACGGCTTTTAATAATGACTGAACGGTTCAGTTGACTGGACCATAGTCACTCCCATAAATTCTATGGTCTAGTCATAAGTTTTTGACTAAACCGTTCAATTTGAGTATATCCAATCAAAATTGAGTATCCGCATAGGGTGAGATTTATTCTAATAAATTCATGACAATTATCAATTTGCTAATCAGATAATTTTTGAAGATAAATATTAATTAATTAATTTGCAGTAAAGATAAACTAGGTGTTAGACCCGTCCGATGTACGGGGAAGGCATACACATTTAGACATTTTTACATAAATTTTGTATTTTTATAAAATATGTAATGAATTCAGTTTTAAACATGATTACCTCTGGATTTACATGAATTTGTTTTTTTTACATGATATTTTAAATTCACTGGTGATAAGATTTATGCAGATCTCTCTAAAATTTGTTAGGATTTGGTACTCTCTCCAATCAATCTCTGTGTTAGGATTTGGTTCATGAAAATAAAGGGTTTGGTTTTTATTATTTTATTTTTTTAAAATTATTTTAGTTGATTTTTTTTTGTTTTATTATTTTGTTTTATGCATTTTTAAGTCTAAAAAATTAAGAAAATGCCACATAGGATTAAATCTTATGTGGTATGTGCTCCATGCCTTTAGTTTTTTCTCTCTAGTTTTTGCCTTAGTATAGTACATAGACACAATATTTTATTTTTAAAAATAAAACTAAACTCCATATCGATCTAAAGGAAATTATTTCTTGTTTTTTTTTTCCCAAAAAAAGAAAATCTACAATACGCACAACCCATTTCCTCCCTCTACCCACGTTTAGCTCCTCTTCTCAATTTTGGTGTCATTGAAACACTCTAAAATGTATTTACCAGTACAAGATTCATAAGGAAACTAACCCTATCATAAAGCACAAAAAAGTTCACCAATTCAATCACCAAAAACCATAAATTGAATTCTTATTCACCGTTCCCAATTTAATAATAGTTTGTTCAAAATTTTCAAGAGCTGGGTTAGTCTTTCGTATTCCGTCAAAAGCATAATTGAGAGGGGATCATAATCTCAACTATGGCTTAAATTTTTCTCGATCACAATGAACCATACTAAAAAGAAAAACATGGACAGAACCTTAAATTATCTTGGTTTTATACTACAAATTAAATTTACAGTTGATTGAAAAAAGAGTAAAATGCATGATCCCATTTGCTGATGTTTGATTAGTAATGTTGTTTGTGATTTTCTGAGGGTTAAGTTAGATATATTAATGATATACTTTTTTGAGTTGATTCGTTAGACGCACAGTTATAATTTTGTTTGTTTTGGTTTTTGAAAGATAAAATAATGTGTTACATATCCAAGACTTAAAAAATCGAAAAAAAAAAAAACTGATATAAATGATCCAGTGTTATGCTTATTTTTTGGGTTTGAAATTCCACATCTTTAATCCTACAGTGATAATCATTTCTTGTCATCTAACGGCTGATATAATTAACTGAACCGTTTAGTCGACTAGACTGTAATCATTCCCACATATATATATATATACATATATATATACATATATATATATATCTTACTATATATTAAAAGAATTTTTTTCAAAAGAGACATGTCAGTTATTTAGGTCATCGATAATTTTTAAGTACACATGTCATCTTTTCATTCGTTGAGAATTTTTTTAAATACACGTGTCATCTTTTTATTGGCTGCTATATTTACTGGACTTTTAATATGTATGTATTTTACAAATTAAAATAGTTAAATTTATAAATTAACTTTCACCCATCATCGGTTACTTCCTTAGACCGACTATAATTAAAATTGGTCAGTAAAATATATCCGGCAACGAATTAACTAAATCAATCAAGCAGAAATGGGTGCGGGGAGACATACGTTATCTTTATCTTCTTCTTCATAATCAAACCCTAATTCCCCAAGACGCTTTGAGTGAATTCTTCACTCTCCATTCCCGACGGAGGAAGCACGATGAAGACGATCGGTCATCCAATTATGCAAGCAAATCCAGCAATTTCATTCCTCCCAATCCCAACCAAAACCCCCCATAAGAACTCATCTTTTTCAACAATACCAGCATTTTCAACCAATTAGAAGAAAGAATATTGCATCATCATCATCGTCCCTCACACTGGCTCTCAGAATGGAAGAAATCACTCCTCATCCCTAAAGAAAACCTTGATCATCATAATCCGAGACAACAAACCAACCAAATTAGAGAGGAGCCCTGTTCTTCATGATGAATGATCAGAAAAATCCCTCAAG